AAGAGCAAAATAAGAATACAACACATGAGAAAAGATCCATGCCTGATTGAATCACAGATTCTGAATCAAACAGAAGAAAGAAAAAAGAAAGATTACCTGTAAATACTTCAGTGATTTTTAATATGTAATTGAAGATGCCACATTTGTTTTAAATGTTAATAACAATAGTTTGCATACACATTCACTCACACAGTTACCCAAAATTCATTAACATCTGCAGAGGTATACCTAATATTTCTCAGGGGTTTTAGCTAGACACCTGTTTCTTTTACAAATATTTTTTGCAACCAGAATAGACTGCTACACCTGAGCTAGGACAGAGGTGAAGTATGGAGCAACAATACTGATATCTGCATCTTTGGGCAAACTGGTCTAGAGGAAGGTGTCCTGGCCCATGGCATGGGGGGTGGAATTAGATGATCTTTAAGGTCACTTCCAATCCAGTGCAAACCTTTCTATGATTCTATGGTTCTATGAATCCATGATCTTCTGTAAAGTTCCTTTCATGCCCTTCAAGCAGCAGAAGCTGGGCTTCGCCTAATGTTTTCTTAGGCACCCCACAGGCTCCAGGCAAGACATGATACCACTCTACTTCAGGAGCATGAGCATAAGAGTAAACCCAACAGCTTCTGGATGAGTTGTTTTAATACATATAGTTATCACAGCCTGAATTTTCCAATATTATTCTTTCCATTAGGAGAACAGATCCCCAAGCGGTGACCATTATGCCAGTATGGTTAACAATCAACAATTAAATGGCTGTGTTCTTGGGGTATGATAAGTAGTACTTACAGTTTGGCTCTCGACAGAATCACAGAATGGTTAAGAACTCTTTGAGATATTGATAAAAGTTTTCACAGCCATAGATCAGAGCCTCTGGAAGCCTTCTCAATGTGTTGTTCACTTGTCCTTATGCAAATTTTAATAAGATTGGGACTTACATCCATTTTTGTTGTTGTTGTTGTTTATTTTATTATTATTATATATATTTGTTAAGACTGCATTCCCACAAGCACAGTTGTATGCTGGGTTATGTCTAAGATCCTTCAATTTTAGAGCAACATATGGTCTTAAACTATTTTCATCAGCTATTATCACAGTCTTCTAGGAATCTTTGCACAGTCCAAATGCATGTAGATATATTCTGAAACAAAAAAAAATGATCTGGATCATGTCTTGTCATAAGAGATCAAGGTCTTGTCCTTCTGTGGGGAAAGTTCCCACAGAGGAGATACATGGCTCAGAGGAAATAAAACTAAAGAGAGAAAAAAGAAACCCAGTTCAATGGGACTTATCACTTGCTGAGAAGATCCCAAAAGACCAGAGATGTTAGTTAGAGATCTAGAGATTGTCAGGTACAAGCTAAAACCACTATAATTACTACCATCTATTAGGTGCAATAATGCACAGAGATCCACTCTGGGGACATACACACACTTTGGGGTGTGTTTAGGGGTGTTAATAGTAATGAAGAGAGACCAGACTTTCAGAAAAGTTTGTAACACATCTGTGGCATGGAGAAGGGAACTTCAGCAGAAGTAAATCAGCTAAGCATCACTGAAACCTACACCAGCTACAAACTTGTTCCAGTGATTCCAGTTGTGATTCATTAACAAATTAGCAAGTTTGAAGACTTTGTTTAGAAGCTGCTTCAGTAAGAACAGCTAGTGATTTTATCTCATGCTGTGCAATTATTGACCAATTTTAGGTGGGAAAAGGCTTTTAGAGTAGATACAAATGCCATTATTTTGCTCACAGTTTTACTAATTTCAAACTTTGGAAAGACACAAAGACTTTAGCATATTGGGAGTTTATTTTTAAAAATGCCTCAGAGTATATCATTCCTCCTCCTCAGAACAGGATGAATTAAATGAAGAACTTGCTGGGGATCCATTATTAGAATCTCTTAAAGGGAACAGTTAGTGTAATATGCCATTATTTCCTAATGCTGCAATATTTGCATCCTCAAAATACCATAATCATTGAATCACAGAATCATCTAAGTTGGAAAAGTCCTTCAAGATCATCAAGTCCAACCATCAGTCTGACGTATCAATTCCCATCACTAAACCATGTCCTGTAGAGCCACGTGCACACCTTGTCACATACCTCCAGGGATGGAGATTCCGTCCCTTCCCTGGGCAGCCTGTTGCAATGCTTCACCACCTTCTCCATGAAGAAATTCTTCCTAATATCCAATCTAAACCTCTCTTGGCACAACTGAGACTGTTTCAGTTGTAAAGAGCAATAAGGTCTCCTCTCAGCCTCCTCTTCTCCAGACAAAACAACTCCAGTTCTCTCAGCAGCTCCTCACAAGTCTCGTTTTCTAGTCCCTTTGGCAGCATTGCTGCTGTTCTCTGCACATGCACAAGCAACTCAAGATCCTTCTTGTAATGAGGGGCACAAAACTGAACACAATATTTAAGGTGAAGTCTCATCAGTGTCACATACAAGGGGGCAATCACTTCCCTGGTCTTGCTGGCCACACTGTTTCTGATACAAACCAGGATGCTGTTGGCCTTCTTGGCCACCTGGGCATACTCTTGGCTCATATTCAGCTGGCTGCCAACAGCACCACCAGGTCCTTTTCTGCTGAGCAGTTTTGCAGTCACTCTTCCCCAGGCCTGGGGAACTACATCAGGTTTTTATGATCCAAGTGCTGAACCCAGCACTTAGCCCTTCTGAATATCATGGAATAGGACTCAGTCCAGCATATCCAGATCCCTCTGCAGAGCCTTTCTACCCTAAGCAGATCAATAGTCCTGCCTAACTTGGTGTTGTCTGTGAATAATAGAGATAATAGCAGTGTGAGCTTTCAGATTTAGCAGAAGTTGGATACTTTGTGCATCAAAACTAAGAAATAGTGGTGTCAATTAAATTAATGTTGTTATATCCTTACCATCTATCTTCTTTCTCTCTGCTTAACAGAAAATGAGAAAAGATAAGAAATTTTTAGTAGTTAAACTCACTAAAAATATACCATTTCTGGAAGAGAAAGGTTGAGATTTTGCCAGCTCTTATTCATTAAGGTCCTAACATAGCCAGGAACTGAGTTTATTCAACCCTAATTTGAAAACCCTGCAAACAGCCAGAAAACATTTCTCAGAATTGTGTCCTGATGTAAAGCTAAGCTGTCCTGACATTATAGAGGCATCAGCTCTGCTAACACTGCTCAGTTACTATTCTGTATCTTAGATATCCTGTTTAGCAAACTTGCTGTCTCTCGTGGAGAAGAAATGGATGGTCACTGCAATTCCTAGGCACCTTTCAAATATTAGAAAGATCAAAGTTTGAAAGATTTTATTTTGCTTGAGAAAATCCAGAGGAACATGCTGCATTAGCTTTTCCAGCTTGACTCTCTGGAATGTCACTCTGAACTAATATGTATCTCAATGTTTTGTATGCACGTGCAATTATATGAGTATCAGGTATTTGAAACATTCATTCCTCGTTTCAGTAATGAAGTAAATTTCTTAACTGCCAGAAATACGTACTTGAGAAAGTTTGAGTTTTGTGATTCTTCTGGTTGTCCAGCACACATATGAAAAGGGGAAATGCAGTTTCTGTGATATTTGTTAAAGCAGATTTCTCTCTCAAGTCATCAGATGGTCACTTGAGTCTGGTGCAGGTATTGCTTTTGACTCAGTTTTCTGTATATGTTCATTCATACATTAAAAAAAAAAAAAAAAAAAAAAAAAAAAAAAAAAAAAACACTTCACACAAAACAGTCAAGTTATTCAGTCTAGTATCAGATATTCTGCCATGCTCCCAGCTGATACTGGGTAAGTCTTTATCAGCTTGACTCCAGCAAACTGCACATTAATGCTGTGACAGAATTGGTTATAGAGTAACACCATGAGAGTTACACAGACAGACCTGAAATTGCAATACTTTCTAGCAAAGGAACAGGGTCATGTTAAGAAAAGGATGTGGAAGGAGGGATATAACCTCTTAAACAGCCTTAGATTGGACAATATGCCTGATGAGAGCCTGCCTTCTAGCAAAGACACAACATCCAGCAAGCAGCACTCACTATTCCTCATCTGGACTTGGAGCTGGTTGTCTCAAAGTGAAGGGGACATTTAAAGTCTTGGTCTTTCCACAGCTCCTATTTTATATGCCTAATTGCTTGGACAGCTGAAGTCAAGCAGGCAGTGAATGCTACAGAAATCAGTGTCTCCAGGGCTTTTGGACATGGTGGAAAAGGTTGATCTCACTGCTTTTAATTGTCTGAGCCTTGGTCTCCCTTCTACAGTACATGAAAATAAACGGGACTGTTGAGGGTGCAGTCAGTCTGATCTATTTTATCTATCTATTTTAGGAGGAGATGAATCATGTCTTAGACTTAACTAAGTTAATTGACTCACTCTCCATTCATTGTAAGGAAAGTTTGGAAGGGACAGAGTTCAGATGTAGACACCTACACTGTAAATATCTACATAGCAGTAAATGATTCCTCCATCTGGTTATGCAGTCAATAAGGAGTAGTCTGTACCTACTGAAATATCTCTTGCAGGTATTATGATCTTGTTTTTTTTCTTCTGCCTATATCACAAACCTGAATCAGGCAAGCTAAGGGTAATAAGTGCCCCAGAGGACTCTCTTTTCCTCTGACCTCAAGATGCAGACCAATCTTCAGTCTACACTTACATCCCTCACACAACCGTTGTGTGCCATTCATATGTTTTCACATTCACACTAAATTTTCATTTCATTGGCAAAAAGCCAATGTAGAGCATGGACACACACAAACATAAGTGTGGTTAGGAAAGAATAACACATAGGCCCATATAACTGCATTTGCATTATTTCTGTAGCATTGCCACCTGTGGGAACATACACTTACATGCACAGGCCCCTAGTCAGAATGATATATTGGATAGATTTCAGGAACAGGTTGCTTGTGCTTGTTTGTCCCCGGATATGCCCTTCCAGGCCATCATGCCCAGTGGGTGTTGGGTGACTTTGAGAGGTCAGCCTGTGGTCTGCTCCCCACTGCCATGCCATGGGGTGGCTGCAACCACACACCCTGTGGGGCACCCCCCGCCAGCCGGGTGCCAAATATGAGAGCATCAGCACCAGATTCTGCTACTTGGGCCCCAGTGCTGGCCTCCACCATGGGTGCTTCTGTGCCGAAGCAGCTTGGCCTGATGGCGCAGATGGCCACGACCGTGGCAGGGGTTGCCATAAGCTCTGCTGTAGGCCACACCATCAGCCACGCGCTCACAGGAGGGTTTGGTGAGGGAAGCAGCTTGGAAGCTGCCAGGCCTGATATCAGTTATCAGGAACCCCGAGCAACTCAACCTGCCTATCATCATCATCAGCAGCAGCTTGCTCCTTGCCAATATGAAATGAAACAATTCCTGGAGTGTGCGCAGAACCAGATTGACTTCAAGCTGTGCAAGGGCTTCAGTGAAGTACTGAAGCAGTGCAGGTTTGCTAATGGTTTAGCTTAAGCCTCCAGAACAAGGTTGCTGAAGACCGTCTTACAAGCACTGACCTATGAATGAAAAAGCTTCAGTAATAGTCTAAAGCTGTCTGATATCTTGTTAGTTTGTATATTCACACTGTTGTCCTTGTGCTTTGATTTCTGCCATAGCTTCTATGTGTGATAAAACTTAAACTGCAAAGTAATTTAGCATAAAATGGAAAAACTAAGAATAAAGTGAAAAGAACTATATAAAAAAAAATAAAATAAAATACAAGAATAATACAAAAAAAATTTAAAAAAAAAAAGGAGGGGGACACCTCATCGTGGTCTACAACTTCCTTGCGAGGGGGAGTGGAGAGGAAGGTGATCTATTCTCTGTAAATACCAGTGATAGGACCCACGGGAATGGTGTTAAGCTGAGTCAGGGGAAGTCTAGGCTGGACATCAGGAAGAGGTTCTTCACTGAGAGGGTGGTTGCACACTGGAACAGGCTCCCCAGGGACGTAGTCACTGCACTAAGCCTGTCTGAATTTAAAAAACGATTGGACTGTGCACTTAGTCCCATGGTCTAAACTTTTGGGCAGACCTGTGCGGTGCCAGGAGTTGCACTTGATGATCCTTATGGGTCCCTTCCAACTTGGGATATTCTATGATTCTGTGATTCCTAATCACCAGGTTAATGGTTTTGGAACTGGGGTGTTTGCCACAATAATGGGAGGATTAAAGGGACATATTTCATAAAAAATATACATATGATAGTAAGTTTTTCAACCACTGATTCTTCACCAGCCACAAGTTCTCAGATGACAGCTCCAAAGCTGTCTACATAAAACTACATAAAAAAAAAAAAAAAAAGAGTAAAACACAGGAAAAAAAGTCAGGGACCAAGCTCAACTAAATATCCCTGGAAGTTATATGAGGAGAACCAAGGAAAACTGAGGTCTTCTTGGGATTGAAGATAGATTCAAGATATATCCAAGAGAGGATTTCCTCTGAGAAAAGCTAAAAAGAGTGCAGAGGGAGTAAGGCTGACTACTGCCATCTTTGGATTCCAGGGTTAGTGGGAGCTAGAGCCGAATTCCATCTGACAGCTGAAATTACAAGTTCAGATCATTACAATGAGCAAGAAAGGAACTACAAACCATCCCTCTCCATAGAGATATCATGATATGAAGAAGAGAAGCAGGCATGAAAGGTCTTTATTGATAAAAGATCACAACACATGTGAATCTGTGGCTTAAGGGTGATCCTGGCAGGCTGAAATGGGGAGAAACATAATCCTGAGCCTGACTGGATGATGCGGACATTAGAACAATGCAGAGCCAAAGAAGATACGATGGGATATGGGATATGGTCTTGGGGGATATTTGGGATCTTTTTATATCCTTCTCCATGCTGGCAGACCAAATGTTTCAGTGACTGAATGTTTGACATGTCATATGCTATCAAGTGCCGCTCACAAGCAAGAGTCCACAAATTCTTAGCTGCAATAAATGAGTTCAGAAGAAAGAGAGATATTGGGCAGAGAAGATGCTGAAATGCTCACAAGGGCACCCAGGGTCCTATAAAATGATGAAGCCTAATACAATGACTGAGAGAATGGAGGGTGTTCTGATCCTGGCACAGGTAAAAGAGCCCTGAGAGAGAGACTTGGTCAGTGCTGATATCATAATAACAGGAGCAGATACCCAGTCAATATTAGCTGCATCAGACAAGATCATTAAGAGGACCAGCCTGAAGCTCAAGACAGCAAACTCTCTCTATATATATTTCATCTGGTTTACCAAAAGAAGGATTACACCTGACAACTGAGTGGGAATCCATAGTAGAACTTCTGTGAGCTCTGTGAGATCTGAGAAGCCAGCAAAATACTTGGGGGAATAGTATTAAGTGGAACGGAGTGACAGAATTAAGGAATTAAGAAGTTAAAAATTAATTAATTAATTAATTAATTAATAACTGAAAAATAATAACAATAATAATAATAAAAAATGTCTTCTCTGAAAGCTCTAGCACAGAAAAGAAAAAAGTAGGAGTCCAAAGAGTTTCAGCAAACAAACAAAAAAAAATAAACTAAATAATAATAATAATAATAATAATAAAAAGAAAAATAATAATAATAATAAAAAAAAAGAAGTACCTTACCTGTGCATTTTTTTTTTTTTGACAAAGCAGAGGCTGAAAAAGGAAAGAAATAATTCAGGGAAAAGAAGTACACAGGTCATCTATAGACATGAGGGGGGAGATCAGTTGAGAAGGTTTTATAAATGTCATACATATACATTTACAACACTGTTTTGTGGTGCTTTTACCTGAGAGGTTGACATATTGATTTTCCAGAGTATGTAGCAATCTGGTGTACTCAAAGGCAAATTCCAATGAGCTTCTGCTGTAGCTGAGAAAGCTTAGCTAAAAGCAAATCAGTCCCCGAATGTCACTCTCTCCACTCAGAAAATGAAGAAGATGTAGTCAGCAGCAAATATCGAATTCAAGCAATATGCTCAGTGGCAGAGGCAGGGAAGCCATCCCTTCCTTCAGGATAGCTCCCAGTTTCCTGTACCTGGAGGCCAACCTCTCTCTTCCTATACACTTTCCTTTTCCTGCCACTTCATTTAAATTCCATTTTCTGTAAATAATGCTATGAGGATCACACAGACAAGAGACCCTTTAAGTACCCTGATATATCCCTCAACTGGATCCATCAATTCCGCATTGAAGAGGGCACAGATCTTATGGAAGAAATTGTGAAGTCATTTGATTACAAATAATATCAGAAAGTATAATTAGGCTGCCAGCACGGGTAATGAGACCTACACCTGCGTATTTACAATTTGGAGTTGATGCCCATCCCCACTGATGGCAACACTGTGCATCTGCATTCAGTACTGTACCCAAAATCTCACTTGATGGGGGACTCTCCTGCTCCATCACCTTAATAATTTAATTATTTCTATCCACTTTACACACATAAAACCTATTATGTCCCTTCTCCAAACCATTACTCAATCTTTTTTTAGAACCCCCCCATGAGATTCTGTTTTTCTGCTTTCCATTCAAGGGTCTTCCTCCTTCTTCTAAGAGCTGAGTACAACCAAAACATTTGACAAATCACCGGAAAAGCAACTACAAAAAGTCTTCCTTTCTGGATTCTAATAGGACTTCATATGAAGAAAGTATATGTGCAACCTCTATGGAGTTCATTTAGGAATGGTGGGAGTTTACTGACTATTCAGTGAAAATGGAGTACCTAACAGCTCTCTTCTACTTACAGAGAGCTAAGAAATTGTCTGAATATAATTATTTTTTCATGGATTTTCAGATAAAAAAAGTCACACACTCAGTCACACACTCAAAACAGCAGCAAGTCTCTTGACAAATTCCAAGCCAGTACAGACTACGAAAACTTATTAACAGTATAGCCAACTTTTTTTTATATATATTGAAAAAAGCAATGCATTTTCCTCTAACTTTCCTGCTGAAAACTGTTACTATATTCCTGGGTGAAAATATAAAATAACAATCAAACAAAGTCAACTAGGCAATACTTCTCAGCTTGAGGCAGAGACCTGGGAAAAAATAAAACTAAGAATAAAAAAATCTCTTCACACTCATTATAAAAAAATCTTAGAAATATTCTAAGAAATTGAAAAGCAACAAATATTGTATCTTATTGAGTGACTTAAGCACAAGATGTGTTTCTTAAAATAATGATAGATTAAACTTCTCTTAAATGTGCTTAGGATGCTGTTGTTGATTTTTCTTAATAACCCCACTGGAAAAAAAAAAAATATATATATATATATATTTGTGTGTGTGTGTGTAGAATGCATTAAATTTTAAATACATTTCAGTTATACAAATTAATAAAGAAAGAAAAAAAAAACACCACCACCACCACCACCACCAAAAAACTCCTTTGTTTTCCAAAACAGAAAAAAAAAAAAAAAAAAAAAAAAAAAAGATTAAATTACTGAAATCTGTAACCAGCAAAGCAATGTTTCAAGAAAGTTGGCACTTTGTTCAAGACATAAGTCAAATTAGTGGAGGAAAATGTATTTACCAGGGAGGAAATCAGAAAATTTCCTTCAGGAATTATGACCATGGAATTAACTGCAGGGATAACATCCTTTCGGTTTCGTTCACTTTGCAAGGACAAGCAGATTCTATTTTATTCCATCACAGCAGGGTCATTAATAGCAATTTTTTAACTCTAGTTAGATTTCTTTTAGCCTTTTGAGACGTCCTAGGGATTCTTGGCTATTTTCAAAATGATTTCGACTAATTGCATTAGGCCCCATGTTGGAATCTTAAACGTATCGTAAATAACTGGCTTTTTCATGTAAGGATATTACACGTTGCAGTTTCCAGACCAAATTTAATGACATTTGGTTGTTGATGTTTTATTAATAACCACAGCTGCAGCAGTAATTCACTGATTCATAATGATTTCAAGGGAAATACCTGTTACATCCAATCTGAGAGTTATGCCTTCACCTCTTGGATGATATCAACATTGCCAGTTCACACACATACACCTTCTCATATATCAGTATATCCACCCTCTTGGATTGATAGTGCCCAAACACAAAGGACAGCTGTATGTAGAGAGATTTGAAATCTCACAATCTGTTTCAGTCTCTCATTGATGCAATCTGAATGGGTCATCACAAGGGAGACCAGACATTCAGCTCTCGCAGAACAATCTGGTTCTCTTCATTCCAGAGTGAATCCATTGGAGTGGAGATGCATCAAAGCTGGCAGATAGCAGTGAGATCAAAAGGCATGTGAGCTCAGGATGCCCAAATCTGCTCTGATATTTACTCTTCTTTCAGAATAAAGAGTTTTCCCAATTCTTTTCAGAATAGCAGAGAGGATAAAAATAATTTTCTTTCTCCAGCTCCCACACCTTTTTTATATTGATTTTGGGATAGGTGCCCTGACAGGCACAGTATCCTGAAATATGAGGTAGTTCTACAATGTACAAGCTGGGTTTCCATTGCATCTTAATCACCCATGCTTTTCTGAAATGCATAGAAGAACAGCAGTAGACACCTTTGTGTGCTGTATCTTGAAAAGGAAGTTGTTAGTCTGTAACTGGCTCACAGAGATGCTTTCTCTATCAATACTTGGAATGCACCTGTTAAAAAAAAAAAA